TGAGGGAGGCAGAGACCTCTGAAATGTTGCAGCATCCGGATAGTCATGGTTGCACCGTTTTGTTGTCCTGATGCAGGACACACAAAGAAATCTTTCAGAAAGAGGAAAGGCTGATTTGAAATATGACTGAAACCCCCCTTGACAGTAGCCTCCCATTCAGCTCCTGGGGCTTCTCTACTCCCTAGGAGATGCGTTCAGTTCAGCTTCAACAAGAAGCTCCTTACAGCCCTTCATTGAACCTCTTACGTCAGATTACTCGTGCCATGCAAATGTCCTGTCTTATAAACACGGATAGAAAATGTTAATACGTATCATACACAGTGTTTTTTAGAGCATAAATACCAAAAGAAACCAAATTTTTTTGAAAGTGAGTGAGTGTGGGAATAGACAATTCCGTAGAACACCAATGAGAGGTCATTAATCTTTTCTGTATTTATTAAATCTTGCAGTAATGTTGCTGTACCAAGATATCTGTGTTGAAGATGTTTTCTGAAGAAACTGGATTTGTTTTAATTTATTTAGTGAGGTACCAGGCTTTTAGGTGCTTAAATGGAGAGCAAATTTGTGACGTGCAATAGGAACTGCTGGTTAAAAGATGTAACATACTGTTTCTGAATATCAGCAAGACAGACTTAACTACTGCTTGTTCTCCAAAGAACGCTGGTAGCTCTCAATTCTTGTTGACATTTGAAAGAAAATTAAAACATATATTTACTTTTTGGCTAAATTGTTGTTTTACTTAGAAATGTTTTATGTAGGAATTTAATTAAAAGTGGTTTTACTTTGTTGAGAGTGGGGTTGTTTTTTTTTTTTTTCATTGTTCTGTTTTTTTGGTGTGGGCCTTCTAAAAGGTTAAGGACCTGTCTGGGGCCAGGATATCATTTTAGGTGCTGATTTTATTCTCTTGCCCTAACTCTTGGGGCTAATCTGGCTCACAAGATCTCTGCTTCTAGAATGTTGTAGAAGTAACAAAAGCATTGTCATTATGTGTTTATTTATGTTGTAGAAGCAGACGGAAGTGTTAGAAAGAAACTACTCTTCAACTGCTAAAAGAAGTGATTTCATCCTCAGCTAATTCACAGTGTGAACGTTTGTGTAAGCAGTAATTCCTAGACATGTTACATTTGGCTGCGAGGTGGAGCACCCAGACATCTCTGATATGTCTCTCTGGTACATTGTGTTCAGGGACACACAGCTTTTCTCAGAACTTGAGATACAGTTGGCCACCTTGACTTCTTGGGGCTGGTGAGCAAGGCAGATACCAGGAGGGAGCATGATTGAATGGTTGCACCCATAACTAGCAGTGCTGGTGAGATCCAAGTTCCTCCACAGGCTTCTTGTGAGACTTGGAACAAGTCAGCCAAACCTTTGCAAGGGATGTAGTTGTGTGCTGCTGAAAAACTAATTGTAAGCTGTGAGTTCTGCTATAAATACAACACTGTCAGTGCAGGTTGTTGCATGTTAAGTTATTTGCTTTTCTCCAAGTCTACTTCTAATCTGATCCACACGTTTCCACCGGGAAGATGACTGCTTCTAAATGAGTCCTGCTTCCCAAGTCCCTCATCGGTACTGGCAGAGGAGAGATACCTATGCACTGCTTTTAGAAACAGCTGAATCTGAGTGTGTGCTCCATGTATAATGTATCTATTAGTTCTGGTTTTTATTTTGATTGTGTATGATTTGCCTTTACCTTGTATTATGTGATTTGTGACAAATGGTGGCAAATGCTGCTCTTACATTCTGCTTATCTTACATTTGCTTTCCAAGCAAAGAGCTCCCATGAAGTTGTCCCTCACCAGTAGAGCTGCTTCCTTTTTCTTTTATGCTGGTATCAGTTTTAAGTGACAGTGGTGCACTGGTGTGATAGTTCAATTGTTCACATTCTAGTGAATGCCTTTGACAGAGCCTATTTATATATGGAGTACATACAGTCCAGTATTCCTCTTTAATTTCCCAAAGCTATTGAAATGAGATAATTAAATTGTATGGGCTCTCAGTAATTAAGATGCCAGGCTAAGATGATAGTTTTATTTCCTAGGAATGACTCCAATCCTAAATCTTTTAAGCATGTAGTCATATTTCTATTACTGTTCCTTCAAAATACATTGTATTGATGTTATATGTGTCTCAGCTGGCTTTAACTTCAATACCGAAATCCCGTGTTCTCATAATGCATTCCTGCTTCTGGCAAGATTTTTAAAACATTTGAAATTTAAAATTAAAAATAAAAACATCTGGTGTATTAGAGTTGAGAGATTAGGAAATAGAGCTGTCTTGAAGGCAAGCACACTTCACCAGGTGCTGTTGTACGAGTTGGAAGTGCTGCACTGCTGCTGGAGTGCAACATTTTACATATGGCTTTGTATTATTTGTAGGCTGGCTCAATAGTTGGGTGTCAGACTAATTGCAAGGTAGTGGTATTTTTATTTCACTGTCTTTTATTGCATTCCTGACTGCAGTACCACGCTGGCTACTCCACTGTCTCATCTATTGCAAAACTTTTGCTTGTGACATGTTTGTCTGCAGCTGACTGTTGGTTGATGTAGTCAGGATGCGAGGTGTTAGTAGTGAAATTATTCCTGCAACTGGAGTATCTATGCAAATCAATCATGGGAAGATCATAACAGATAAAATCCCAAGGGATTTAAATAGACATAGGAACTGCTGATGCTTCATATTTTTGGCGTATCAGTTCAGAGAGCTAGCTTTGCCTTTCCATAGAATTTAGTTGTGGTCACATGGAGTTTAGATCACATGGATATGTGAGCTTCCTCTGACAGCATCTGTGGGAACAGCAGAACCTGTAGCCCACGTGGGGTATTGGGGAACACAGCTAATTCTCAGTTAGTGCAAGGACTGAGGAGCCAGCAGAGCTGTTTTCTAACATTCCCATGAGGACACTGAAGACTTTTTAGCTGAAGTCTGAGTGAGCAGAAGGAATAAATGTGGTCTCAGGAATATGCAATTGCAAGCAGATATGTGAAGCAGATTTTGGTAGCTTACCCAGGAAGAGTGCAGTAATTTTAACAGCTAATGATACTGAGAAAATCTGAGTGGCGTGCTGCTCATCCTTCCTCAATGCATAATAAAAATCTTGTAGTTGTTCTTTTTGAGTGTGACTTCCTGACTGATAGAGTACGTGCTGCTGCCACTGCTGCCCAGGGAGTTCAGTCATTTTAGTAGCTGTTCCTCAAATGCTGTGGCAAAATAGCATTTACTGCTGACCAAGTGAGAAGACAAGACAACTTTTTTTCCTTAATGAGATGGATTTGCGTGCTACTGTTATGCTGATGCCTTTCCAGCCACATTAGCCTACATGGGGAACTGCATCACCACTGTCTGCCCTCTGGTAAACCACAAGGGAAGATGTTGCCAGTCAGATGCTGACATAACCTTACCTGCTGTGTCATTTCCAGAACATCTGTCTAGAGGCTCAACTGCATTACTTGTTTTAACAGGTTTTACTACATTGGATCAGATTTTAAATGATGTTGTCATGAGTCAGTCCTTCATCCTTTCAGCCTGTCACTTTGCTTTTCCTCAGGTGATTATGTTGAAGTTTTCCCTGGGTTTGCTTGATGAAGTGGGATGGGGGTTCATTTATATTCCTTGAGTAGCTGTATGGCTGGAACATCTGTGAAGGATCACACTTCAAGAATTTTAAAAATAGTGATCACAGAGAAGCATAAAAGATTAATTCTGATTTGCCAGGCATCATCTGGCTTTTATGAAGCAAATGAGTGGAAGCAACAACTGAGCACCATGGAAACATGGTTTCCAAGGGATTACAGATCTCTGTAGTGTAAGGATGTATGCAAGATCTAATTTTTTGTCTGGGATTTCTACAGCTCTTTCTTCTGGGAGCTCCTCTATCCACTGAAGTCCAGGGAGAAGTGAGGAACTGGAGTGGTTTGTTCTTGTTTGTGAATCCTGCCTTTATCCCACCTTACATGGAGGTTTGCTCCTTTGTCTTTCAAGCTTTGCTCAGTGAGCAACCTCTGGATGCACATTCTGATGTGACCGTTGTACAACACAGCCCGAGCAGCTCATTCTAATTCCTGAAGTTGTTTCTTTACCTCCTTTGCATAAGGAACATGGAACCTTTACCTCGCGTATCACAGAGGCTGCTGAGCACTATTGCTCAGGATGTGGGAAAGATGTTTCCATGGCTATGAATTTCTTCTGTAGAAGCAGGTTTTCATGGGGCAGCAGGGTGAATAGCCAACAATATTAGAATGGATGACAGCAGGGCTAATAGTGCTCCTTAGATAAAGAGTGTGGACTCCAGTCCTTGTACCTAACATTGATTGAAATCAAAAGGGAACAACTTTTAAAGGGGATGTGGGGTTGATAGAGAGACTCCTTTCCCCTATGGGCTAGTGACCTGTGAATTTAGGAAGAGGAGTGATTAAGCAGAGGTCCAAACTTTGCACCCCATGTTCTTTTTGCTTGGCTGAATAAAAGGACCCTTAATATTTTGTATTCCTGAGACAAAGTTTGTTTCTTATCAAAGAGCAAAGAATATGTCCTGCATATAGAGTTGGGGCAGTTGGCGTGGGAGGAAAAGAAGCCCATTGCTAGGCTCAGGGGTCATCTGCTGCAGAGGTTAATTGTACAGTTAACCTGCATTCCTAAATTCCATAGAGACAAATAGTTCTGTATGGCTGCACCTTGAAGCCACCCACCATCCAGCATTGTATATTGGCTAGCCAGCTTTCTGATCATCACTGTGAAGGGAATGGACATGGACAGCTTAAGGTGTGGGATTCACTAATAAGCTTAAACTTTGAATGCCAGTGCTGTGATACACAGGCTCAAATACTTTATTTGTGATTTACTCCTTCTCTTAAGGAGAGGTGCTGAGTCATAAGTTGGGCATTGAATGCTTGAAGGAAATTTGAATGCAGTTTTTGTGGCCAGGATAGCCTTTAGAAGCTGTCTTTCCCCCATCAAATTACATACCCATGCCAGTTAATTTAAAAATAAGTTTAATATTCCAGACCACAAGTAACACTGAAACATACCTGCACATTACAAACAACTGTAATGTTCTGCATTTAATACTTGCTTTCTCTTTCGCAGCTCAGTGTGATAATCTTGATTCCTTGAGGGGAAAAATAAAACTCTTTGAAGCTTTTGAAATCGTTTCCTGTTCTTAATAGCTGAGACACTCACAGTTCCTGCTCACAGACTTTATACTGGTTAAATGAGTGAATGTGTATCTGCTACATATGGTAAGTATGAACAGCGTCACAGCTGCAGTTGCTGATGCTGCATTCAGATTGTGCAAACTGAGGCTTCAGCCTAAATGGATCCAAGCTTCAGCTTTCTTGATGTAGTCATGTATCAACAGGGCACCCACAGCAATTCTTTAATCACCTCTGCATACTTTCTGGCTTTTTGTAATCAGTGTAGTAGAGCTGCCACGTCCTCCTCTGTCGTAGTGATCAAGTAGGCTGTGAGCAATGAAACTGCTTTCGGAATGCAGGGTCTCACATTTTCGACAGACAAGGATTTCACATTTTGGACACATTTTTCCAGAATGTGGTTGCCTTAAAGAACATATTTCTTCCCGTGCTGGTTTCAGCTTTTTGGAACCTTTCCTGTGTAAGCATCTCTTCTTGTCTTCAAAACTCTGACTCCTTCCCTGAGGGCTGGAACAGTCAGAGGAAAGAAAGGTGACAAGTTTAACCTACATATCTCCTAAATGAATGACATCCCCAGGAGCAGTTACTGTTGATTTATGAATCCTTACTGAGGTTCTGTGACACACTACGAGCAGGTGCAGTGTATGATCTCCTGCAGAGAACAGGAGTGGGCAGAAAATAGAGAAAACTGGCTCTGGTGTTGTGACAGCAGTGACAAGCCATTGTTTCTTTAGCACAGAATTATCACAAGGACTGTCCATCACTACTTAAGCAAAAATGTAAAATAAAGAAAAAAACTCAAGTTAGCTGGTTAAATAGGCTCTTCAGTTCTTCAGTATTCACTTCTTCGGTGAGTAATCATGACATACCCTCGTGCATGAAAACAAATTCCATACACATATGTGCATCTAAATTAAAGGCTCCTGATGTAATAGACTTCATCAATACTATTGTAAGGGTTATTTTTCTCCTAGCATGCAGAAATAATTATGCTAGCTCATAGACAAGACCTATCTTGTACTGTCTTTGGATAGAGGTTGAAGGGCTGGAAGAAAAGCAGCTTTGATACACTACATTTTATACAAAATAATACCGTTGAAGGTTAGGGTCATGGTTCATATTCAGCAACAAGAGCTCACAAACCAGTGCTGAATGGCAGAGATCTTCTGATTTAGCTACACCACTGTGAAAGTTGTGTAGGCCCTGATGGCCTGAATCTTTAGAATTACTGCCATGCAGTGTGTCTGCAAAAAACATCCAGTAAAATCTGAAGACTCTCCATTAATGTGATTCATGTGTTACTGCTTTTTTTAGATAAAACTGGGAAAAAACTGTCACTTTCAAATTACTGTCAAGGCTGCACAGCATGGTTTTACTGCTTACAGTGATGTCTGCCTCTAGAATGCATGCATTAGTAGAATTGTGGATAATAAAGGCAATTCAAGCTCTGGTTCACCAACTTCTTGGATCCTTGCACCTTCCAGTGCAGTTCCCCATGAGTGCAACAAGGTAAGCTCCAAAGCAGAGCCCTTGGTATCAATTGTTTGGCAGTTGGACTGATCGAAAGATTCTCTCAAAACCAAATCTGGCCTGTTTATTTTAATCTTATATCAAGCTTGTAACCAGTTGCTGTGACTGTCAAACTTAATGTAGTTAGCTGAGTAATTGCTGCGACTTGCATGTACTTCCTGCTAAGACAGTAATTTCATGATCATTAGCAAAGACAGACTCTTTTTAGGAGGTCTGCATAGAAAATAGCTTTTGTAATGGATGAGGAAAGTCACTTTAAGATTTTATCGTGATACATACACTATGTTTATCTCCTGTTAAGGAAAAGTAACATCAAACACAAGGACTCAAGAAGAGAATTTCAAATCTCACAAGCATGATGGAACTATCTCAAATCTAACGGACCGCAGAGCAGTAAGCTGTAGGACATTTCGACTCCTTGCTCACACTCTGATAAAAGGAACATTTTTCCATTAGTTGTCTGTTTTTTTAATCCTCCAACAGGCAGCAAGCACAAAGACTCTATTGTAGGGAAGGTATCCCGTAGGACTTGGTAGCTGAAACTTTTCAATGCTGATTTTGGTTGCTGCTGCATTGCCGCTGTTCGTGGCACCCTGCAGCTAGAGTTACTTAACTGGTGCAACAAACCTGTTCTTTCTGGAAATGGCCCTGGGCAGCTCGAATGTATGTGGAGACATGAGATACCGCCCCTCCAAAATCTTCTTGATTGAATGGGAAGAGGAGTCATCAGAAATGATTAAAAGAAGAATATGCAGATACACAAAACTTGGAGACCTTACATTCACACGTCTGTGAGTGGCTTGCTGCTGTTCAGATGAAGTTGTTTAATTAGCCTGTCACAATTTCCTTGTTGGTGAAACTATTAATACAGCAGAACATACAAAGGTGTCTCGAGGTGCACTGGAAATGTTTATAAATAAATTTCTCATTTGAATAAGTTTACAAAATAGAATCTCAGATGTACTTACAGTTTACTCCTAGGAGACCCAGAGAAGAAACTCAGTCCAGAAAATCTTTTCTTAAACACTCGCTCCCGCTTCTTTCGGTTGTGTTTCCCATCTCCTGTGCTTTCTTCTGTAAGTTCCTTCTTTCCTTTCTGCCAGCTCATTTTATCTGTTGTAACAGCAGCACCTGCTTGGATGAAAGCAGAAGTCTGAATAGCTTTTTGAAATAGCCTCTCCCTTACTGTGTTGCACCTGGCAAATTCTCGCTCTGTTTCTCTACAGACCTGTAAGGTTCCTGGCTATGCGGAAGGCTTAGCAGAGATCAGCCAGCAGATGCTTTCCATCAGATGGAACAAGTGTGTGCTTTGAAAAATCCTGCAGCCACAAGGCAAATTGGCTATTCTTCCTCAACCGCTATTCCACATGATTATGGAAAGGAGGCTTGGGCGTAGAATATAATAAATACTTCCTCTTCCGTGCACTCTTTCATGATTAGGCTCATTGGTGAAAAGCAAGAAAGGAGGAGGAGGCTCATTTGATAAAGGAGCCAGGAGCCAACAAAACAGTTTTGCACAGAGGACAGAAGCAGACAAACAAATGCTGTGAGATGGAACATACACTGCAATGCAAAAACCAGAACCCTGGAAAGATGAAGAACCAACTGGGGATTATAGTTAAGGCTTGGAAATTGTTTCCTCTTTCTTTTGATGAAGCAGTTGATTAGGCTGCATTTCCGCATTGCATTGCTTTGTCTCCAAGAATTATCCCTTCAGCCTCACTGATCAAATTAGTCTCTCTGCTCTACATTTGATACTTAGTAATTGCATTAACTTTTGGTTGCTTGGCTTGGAGGGTACTGTCCACCCTTCTGATGGCTGGAAGTGCTCGTCTGTTTCTACCTGTTGTTCAAAATATTTTCCACTACTCTTCCATGGATCTTCCTCTAAAACAAGGCATACAAACTTTGTAGTCTGTATCAAAACCAAAACCAACCATTCTGAACTACATACTTTTCTGATTTTATCCTTTATCCCTTTCATTCCTTGCTCTCAGCTACCCACCAAAACCAGATTGTTAAATACAGTGCTCCATAACTAGTTTTTACAGTAGGATAAACACAGAAAATGGGGTCTCAGTGTGCCAGTGCTTTACAAGATCAGTCCCTAAGACTGTTTTTCACTGTCATAGTTATTTACCAAGAATGTATATTGACCTATTTACAAGAAAAACATAAATTCCTAGAATGAGCAGTAAGCAATACATCTTGCTGTCATGCTTGGTAATGAGACCCCCAGCTTTCAACAAAACTTAGGTAAGTTGGAACTGTTTCTTCACAAATGGCAGAAAATATTTTTTATGAAGTAAACTAAAATCAGTTCATCGACCTGCACAAGGAAACTGGCGGTAATTGATGAGCGAATGAAAGTTGTGAAGGAAAGAAAACTATCCCCTTCATAATTAAAAGAATGCAGTTTTTGATTTGTATCAGAACAATCCACAAGTTCAAGGCCTGTTTTGGGCATACAGTGGTGTTGAAGTGAAGCCTTGCAGAACAGAGCAGTCTTTGGCAAACAAAAAGCAGCAGCTGGGGAGGCAGGAATCTGTCTTACCTCTAAGAAGTGAGCTTCAAAGGCTTTTGCTGCAGGATCTTTCAGTGCTAATCCCTCTTGTCTAGGAGATCAAGAGAAGAAAATGTAACACTGAAAGTACACGTGTAACTATATGAAAATTGGTGGCAAAAAATAGAAGATACACAGAAGGGATCTTTTCTAAAGCCTTTTAGTCAATAATAATAACACACTGAATAATTTCAATTTCACTCCTTCAAACATGGTATTATTTGGCTGCCTATCCAATGCAACTCTAAAGGATGTAGGTGGAATTCTTCTATATTTGTTTAAATGTGTTGCTATATTAGAAGATTTGAATATCCAGAATTTTAATGTCTTGCTTTTATTCCGGGTTTAAATCCTGTGAAACTTGACTACTGTTGCCTTCAATATACTGATGATTTGCCTCAACTTTCATATTTAACAACTGCTATAGCCAGTTGTGGCTTTGTTAGCTAAAGTAATCATTAATAATGTTATCATAGCCAGCCCTGAGATTTACAGTTTTATGCAGTCGGTTATTTAACAAGTAGCTCAGTGGCTCTCTGCAACAGGAATCCTGCTTGAGATCTGGGAGACAATTAGTTGGTCTGTAAATCTCAGCTAAACAACAGCGTGCAACACTTCAGGAGTCTCTGTGTTACCTCTGTATGCTGTCTCTGAAAAGCAAGGTCTGGTACCTGCTAGACTATCGATGTCAGAACTGATCCACAGTGACACTGCTTTCATTCCTGGACGACTTGAAGAGCAGATTGGCGTCTCTGTGCTATCATATTTATATGATTTCAGGACTAACTGAATTACAGAAGGGGTAAAGAAAAGCAAATTACAAATGACACTGACAATTTTCCCTACCCAGGTCTGGCAGGATGTAGGAAAATCATTTTCCACAAATGGAGCATCTCCACAGCTACCCTCCAATCACAGTACACACAGCAGGCTGCAGCCAGATGGTAGATCCTGAGATAAAGAACAGAGCTATAGGTAAAGCTTTGTGGCAGGGACTGTCGGGCAAACATGCAGGGCAAAGGTGCCAGACAGGAAGGCAGGTCAGGAGAGGGGAAATGAAACAACAGCAACTTGGGGAAGATTTCTGAGTCCCCAGGATGCAGCTTTTCTGATCAGTTCTGTGTCAAGATTGGTTCGAATTCTGACCATATTCTTCCTGCCACCACAGGGTGTCTCTGCATCTCCTCAAACCCTGAAGGCTCTGGCAGCCTTCAGCACCAACCTGTGGTCTCTTTCAAGGGGGTGTAGGCCTAAAGGGAAACAATCCTCCCTTAGCAGTGGATTTTCTTCAGGATCACAAGCCTGCTTGGGGTAGAATGGTGATGCCTTTGCTAGTGGGAATTTCTTCATTTGAAGATAAAGCCACAGTACAGTGATGCACCTCAATTGGCTTTAAGGGCTCCTCCCTACAGGACTGAAACCAGCTGTGGCATCTGATGTGGCACACTGACCTAGATCAAGCTCATTCTGCTGGTGCAGAGTTAGCAAGGTTTGAGGCACTTTCCCTGTACCGACACACTTTCTGCTAAAGCAGACAATCTCTCTGTGCCCTTTTACCTTTGTGCTCATGCGCTTAGGATAATTTGACAGAAATAAAGTTGTGTGCTTGTACCAGATGTGGATCAAGTTAATTCTAATATCATTAAGGGCAGCACAATAGAAAAACTGAAAAACACTTGAAATACACTAGCTCAACTACTAACAGTTCCCAATACAGAGACTGATTAAATTTTGTCTACCTACTTGTGTATCTCTTCTCAAGGCCCCATTCTCTTTTCCTGGCAGTAAGTAAATACAATGAGGTCATCATTTGCATAGTTATGGAGGTGATTACTGTCCATCAGTGGTCATCAAAAATGCAGGAGCATAACATCTTTGTGTCCCAGAAGATGGAAGTGTTGCTCTTCAGACTTTAGCTTACCTCTCCAACCATTTCTAATATGTTACTTAACTAGTGTTTGTCTTGGAAGTGATCTTACTCAGTAATCTCTTCCCTGAGCACAACTCAGTTTCTGCAACCTTTTTCATGTGAAACTACCTGTGGAAGAAGGAATGGTCCAAATGAGAGTTTTCTTCATGTAAATTAAAAAAAAAAAAAAAAAGAAAAAAAGAAAATGAATTCAAGGGTTGGAATAAAACCAGTGACCTGAACTTTGACTTAGAAACAGCTGAGCATCGTAATATCTGGGCTGTGTATTGCTGCTGTGGGTGTTCTCATATTCCCTGATTATTTTTCTTCTTCCCATGAAAACCTTCAACTTGATAGCAAGCTTAGGAACTGACGAGTTCCTTTGCCCTCCACCTCAGCATTTGCTTGTTGCTTAGAGGAACAGGTCATCTTGTCCTTGGCTTCAGACGTGTAGAAAACACAGATTTAATCTGATCATGCTGTTATACTTTATCCCCAGCAAGCACCCCAAGATCAGGTACCCCAAGATCTGGGGTCTAGATCTGTACAAAAGCTCTTAAGCCCTTGCCTTACTTGTGTATATGCTTGCTTCTAAAGGCTCATGGCTCTCCCTGAAATGGAAAGTTTGTGAAGTGTCAGGCAGTGGTGTCTGGTGCGGTGCTTCCATAAGCACAACAAACCACCAGTGGGGACAGCAAGGTTAAGTTCCCACTTCTTTTAAAAGCTGTGTTATCTTTTATCCTCTTTGGCCTTTATGTTGGGTTCAAGTGCACAGGGTTCAAGTGCACAGGGGCACGTTCTGCTTCAATGGAAGTTTGGCTGTGTGAGGGAGCTGAAGAAATGCTGACTTTAATGAAGGAGATTCAAAGTGGAGAGTGGCTGCCCCGACCTCGGTTTAGTGGGAGTCAAAGGCTGCAAGAAGCCCGAGGCAGAAGCACACGGGCTTTGCAGCCGATACACTTCATTTCGAAGATCACCGTTAGAAAATAATGGTAGATCCAGTAGCTCGCCTGCCTCTGGTTTGGCTGTACACTGTGAGTAGCGATGAGAGCCGCTTTCTGTTCACAAGTACTCACTCGTGACAGCGCGGACAGAACTGCGAACCTCTGTACCTCTCTGCTGTTTGGTTTTGTTTTGTTTCTAGAAAGGGGAGGAAGGAAGAAGATGGCACAGACAAAGGCGACCTCCTCACACCTGCCGTCGGGGCGAGTCCAGCCCTGGAGCCGCACCCCAGGCTCCTGCTGCTCCCCGCGGGGAGGCGGCGCGGGCGGAGCGGCGGCTGCGTTTGCATGAGTCACTCCAGGACTTTCTGCTGCCTGCCGTGAGGTGGGGAGGGGGTACCTCCGTGCCGACGTCCTACTCCGTGATGTGAGGCACAGGCATGCTCAGTAGCTGGTGCCTACCCCTCCTCTCTCAGCAACGGTGCCTACAACGCTGAGAGACCGCCGGCAGCCGGAGCGGGGCCGGAAAGCCATCTTTACGGGAGCGGAGGCAGCGGCGGTCGGGAGCCATGTGAGTGCCCGCGGCCGCCAGCGGAGAGCAGAGCCGGGCTCTCCCGCGGCCGCCGGTGGGCTCGGTGCCTGCGGGGCGGGAGGGGGCCGGGGCGAGCCGGTGTCTGGAGCCGCCGCAGCCCTTGTGGGTGGCACCCGCGCGGCCGCCGGCTCCGGGGCTCGGGGCTGGGCGGACGCGAGCCGGGCGGCGGAGCGCGGGCTGGGGCTGCGAGCGCTGTGCGCGTAGCCGGCAGGCAGCGGGGAGCTAACTCGGGTGAACAGTCGAAACGCTGGGCCGGGATCCTCAACAGGTGCAGGGCTGTTGAACGGTCTGAGTCACTCAGCGGCGCTGAGCCACGGCTGCCGAGTCCTGTTTATTTTCGCCGTTTGATGAAACGCTCTCTCAAATAGTCGCTGGCTGATCCGCTCAGCCGCGCCGCACCCACGACCAGGGGCCCCTGTCTGCACGGCTCGGTGATTTATCTGTTGCTTCTCGTTTGTATCCCTTTAAATCTCTTCCAAATCTTTCAGTTCAGCGTTAACAAAAGCAATGCTCTCTGCTAGACAGCGATGAAGCCTCCAAAGTCAATTCTTAAATCAGAACCGTGCTTAGTTAAGTAGAAATTGATCGGAACTGTGTTCATTCACAAAAAAAATCTGGTGCCTAAACGCACGATTTTACTATCGTCTCAATTCATTGCTCGTTCACAGTCACTCCTAAGGGACAGCTGGAGAAGATGTCTAAAACAATCTCAGGGAGTGCTACACAGCAGAAAGGAGTATGGGGGCTGGAAAGCTGTGGACTTGGGTGGTGGTGGTGGGAGATCTTGGGCTCGGCTGATTCATAGAAGAAGTGGAAACAGCCTTGAGTCTACAAGCACACATTTTGGATTGTTGGCTTTTTTCTTAATGCTCTCTTAGACAATAAGCTTTTATCCATGTTGCCTGAAAGGTTTTCAAGGCAGGGTGCTTCTAAAGGAAATCCTTTATGTAAACACTGAACTTGATCTGGCGAAAAGCTGGTTCACTGTAAGCTTCTGTTGCCTAGTTGTGTTTATATCAAGAGGCAGATGATGACGTCAAATACTTTTGTTTGTATGTGAGCTGTTCTTCAGTGATTAATACAAGTGCTTGCTGTTGTGGCGTTACACAATTGAAACTGTTCCAACATGAAGCAATAACTTGGATAACGTTTGTCTTAACCCATGTATATTTCAGTCTTGGGGTATTTAATGTGGTGCTCATGGGGCTTTGTAAATAAAAGCAGAAAAAGTGAGGTGATGCTAGTAGAACTGGGTTGTGCTTCCATAAGGGACTTGTATCAAATTCTGACAGGAGTTAGATGGAAAAGAGAAAGCAGTTTTTGTCTATTTTGACAATAATGTTTCAGTTTGATAACTGAAACAAATAAGCTGCTCGTAATTGGCAGCATCACTGTCAGCTGGCTTCTGTTTCATTGCCAGGTATTGATATGAAGACTTTTTTGTTTTGTTTTGGGAACATCTGCAAGAATATCATGTCCCAGTGGCTTCTGAGTTAGTGATGAACATGAGAGATAAATGTGCACTTAGCAATGGACTTGTAGCCGCAGCAACTTTTGTACTTCACAGGACCATAACAGCTAACTGCTAGTGGCAATTAGAGGTTCTCTCTGCTGTTACTCCTACAGAATGTTGCAAACATGGACACGTTTCCTCCATGTGTGTGTGGATGTGCATTTGAGATAGGATGCTGTGTCTTCAGCTGGTGTGAAGTAGCATCATTAGTTTTTTAAAGTGAGGGCAGTGAGGCCCTGGTGCAGGTTGCCCAGAGAGGTGCGTGCTCCATTCCTGGACACATTCAAAGTCAGGCTGGACCAGGCTCTGAGCATCCTGATCTGGCTGTAGGTTCATTGCAGGCGAGTTGGACTACATGGCTTTTAAGGGTGCCTTCTAACTCAAACTGTGATTCAGTACAGAACTCTTCCACTGGGTTGTGGGTATACAGCTGTGCTCCCAGAGTACTTTCCCAGTTTTCAAAGACTCAGTGAGTCCTTGAAACTGAACCAAGGAGGCTCAGTGAGTTTCTGAACCAGAGGGAGCTTCTTTGTATTTTATGATTCTCAGTGGATTTTGCTGTTATTCTTTCATGAAGGTGTCCAGTTGCTCCATTGGCTGTGTGCAGTAGCAAAGAGCTCCACAACTGAGCTGTGCAGGCTGTGAAAATTGCTTCCTGTTGGTTTTGAGCTAGCAGGTATCAGTTTCACTCTGATCTCCTACTCTGACATTGGAAATCAGTGAACAATGTTCACCACTTCCTCTGTGGCTCATGATCGTGCACTCCAGCTACCTGCACTGCTTTACATCAGGTGAGAATCTGTCCCTGTGGTTTCTGTAGCAGTGGGCAGAATCCAGGGCAGGTGACACACATTCAGCTAACAGGCATCTTTCTCTTTGGTGAAGGCAGAGGGGAAGAAGTTGTGGCATAAAAAGGTTGAATAAAAGAAGAGGGATATAAAAGGGATCTACAGTGAGAATAAAGAAGAGTTGGACCTTGCCCAGTGTAGCTGGAAGGGTTGTTCCAGATGTAAGGAGAAGACAAAAATCTGGTTGGAAGAGATAGGAGGAGCAGTGAAGAGAGAAGAGTAGTCAAAAATGATGCTCAGATCTGAGGTGCTTATAGGCATTGTTTAGCTCTGGAGAATAAACTAACAGCAGCAGGTAAGGTGCATGGTTTTGTTTCTTTTACAGTGGTCTCATCTCAGTAGGTAATCATATCTAATAGAAGCTTATGGCATCATGTCATCTGCTGTTTACAGATAGGTCAGTGACCAGACAGCAGGGTGCCTTTGATTGCATTAGTCCAACATAAGCTCTATTTCAGGGTACTACTTTTTGAGACAAGCAGCAAAATAAAGCACCTGGCTCTCCCCAGGGCAGGCCTGCATCACTAGATCTCATTCCTAGGGCAGCAGTTTCTAAAATAAATGAATAAAATCATGCTTGCTTCGAAGCAGCAAGGAGAAGATCCTAGATGAGGCGGCTGGGATTAAAATGCTTCTACCAATGGTAATGAGTATGTTCTGGTAGAATTTCTGTTCAGTTCTTCTGAAAGGAGTGGCATGACTATCTCCTGCTGTAAGGAGAGTTGTACTTAGCCCTCCTTCTGTGGACATAATTTTATGGAACTCAGCAAAATCTCTCTACCACGCCACTCCTTCATACTGAGCAGCAGAGCCAAACCAATTTAGTGCAGCTCTCTTTGTGATCCCAATCCACTGCGTGGGGCATTCAGTGGGCTGCAAAGTGAGTATGCCCAGTGTTTGTCCTAGGAAATTATAGATGGGATGAATTTTGTAAGTGTGGCAGCACCTCCATACTGGTGTCTGCATTCCCCTAGAAACCAAAAGAGCTCTGGAAATCCATGGTGGCAGGAAGATTTTGGTCCCCTGTACTCTCGAGCTTTTGCATCTTATGGTCAGGTGCCTCAGAATCAGAGAAGCTAGATTGTTTTGGTATTTTCACATACATATAATTCTCTGTGCAGTGAGTCAAAGGGTATAATGGTTTTGAGGGTCCTGTAGTATTGATTCATGCAGAGTTCTTCGTGTGCAGCAGTAGGAATAAATGCTTCCAACTCATGTTAGACGTTGTTCCTGTTGCATGCACTTGCATTTTGATATAAGGGTGTCCCAAACGGGTTGCAAGTCTTTTGGATATTTAGATGATGAGTGATTGAAAGTGTGGAAATCAAACTGAATGTTGTCTTGAGGACCTCTGTGAAGGATTAAATACCAGCATGGAGACAATTGAAAATTATCTGTGATAAGTACAGGCATAGTGAATATTTTTCACAACAAACGTTCTTGAAAATAGGCTAAGTAGGCTAATATGAGTAGGTGAAACCCAAACACATTCAATTCAGTGATCCCTTTCCTTGGAATGTGTCTGAGTTGACCTGCAGGTGGTTTGTGTAGATAGCTGCAGCAGCAGAATAATTTATAGGATACTTGAAGTGGTTTTATTAGAAGCTGAACTAGTCTGCCAGAGGAGCATTTCTCCTTTTTAAATGCTTTTTACTCAATTAAGATATTGCTGAAAAATGGATATTTAGAGCACCAGGCAAATCCATGTTTTGTACGCAGGTATGTACTGCTCCCAGCAGGAACTGGCGTAGATCAGGAAAAGAGCTTGGTATTAAGTGTCCTTTTTCCCTTCATTTCACTGCCCTTCAGCCAGGATGCATGGTAGATTCTCACTGACAGCTTTAGCAAAATGTTTATGGTGCCCTGGAAGGGGCAGTACAGACTGTCCCAAATAAGTACAAATGACTGAACAGCTCATCTTAGGCAATTATGACTTACAGAGAATATCCTCTCACCTGCGTCATTCAGTGCTGTGTACTGTCATTGCTCATGGCCATTACCAGGAATTAACTATGATGGCGTTTTTTAATGATGCAATTGCTTTTTCTCTGTCTGGACTTAACCCCTCTAAACTCATTTCCTTTATCCACTCAGCTGTCAGCAAATGATTGCAAGGTGGGTTTTTTGCTGTTCAGTTATGGAAAATCTTATGTTTTCTTAAAAGGTGGTAACTCATTGAAATAGATCTGTCTATACTTTTGCAAGTGTTTTGTCAGTTTGAATTACATTGTAGATGAAATAATTAGAGTGGAAGTTTCTGACCAAATGATCTGAAATACCTAAGCAAGTACCTTGATCTCTTCAGGTACAAAATTTAGTGACAAGTATACAGGGGAAAAAAAAAAAAAGTCTTCTATTTCAGAGTAAATCAGAGAGAAATTTCTGAAGTGGCAACTCACATCTGCTGGACTCAGTATCACAAGGTCACCTGAAAGGATGATTTTTCAGAACATTAGAACTATTATTTCAACTTCAGTATTTTTTGTTGGTTTGTTTTTCAGTGGTATTTAAATGTAAATCAGTAATCATGTTGAAACCAAGTGTTGGCACCACATATTTATACATCAGAGCTGGGAATTTGCCTGTGTTTTGGAAGCACCAAGTAGCTGACCATTTGTATTTGTGAGGATTCAGTGCCATGAACTTTAGCTCTAGATTTTGTTATTATACAATATGGCAAACAGCCTGTGGGATTGAGAAAGCTTTGCAAGAAGTCAGAGAATTAGAATTGATGGGCAGTGGGAATACACCAGAGGCTGTGATGTGTCCTTGGTCTGGAGTTAAGTAGGAGAGGAAGTATCCACAGTTTACAAACTCCTTACATGATCGACGAAAGAACTGAAGAGAGTATTTCCTGGCAATCCACAGTGATGAGTGTTGTACTGAACTGCTCTTAGTACGTAATACCAGATATGCTGGTTTTCTTTTAAGATGTTCCTATCAGATCAAGGTGGATATTTATAGGACTGAACTTCAAAATTTTAATTGGAGAATGAAATTGAGAACTTGAACGGCATTAAAAGTGCAGTCATTGCAGGGAAAAGGGTTTTTTTATTTCACGTTTCTGCATGTGGGGAAATATTTTACAGAGTTATGAAACAGACTTCTTTGCATTCTTTGAAATGAAGCTGCAAGTTTTGGTTTTTAAATAACCTTTTAAAGCACTGTTACGTGTACGTTTGGGAACGTTGTATGGAGAACTGTTTTTAGAGATATTAAAATATCTGACCAGAAGATGTCCTGAGCAACCTGGTCTTGTGGGCCCTGTTTTTAGCTGGACAGAATGACCTCCCCTTCCAACCTCAGGCCTTCCGTGATTCTGTTTGAAAACATCTCTCACAAATGAATATGTTGAAGGTAAACATTTGACTGTTTCCAAGCGTTCGAGTTTTCAACTTTTTCATCTGCTATGGATGGAAATTTCAGGTTGAGGGTTAGAAGATGGATTTTGTTGTGTTTCACTAAATTTTAAATTTCTGTAGAATGGATAAGTTGTCCCAGCAATAATATAATAGAATAATTATATTATTAATTAATAAAAAAAAAACAGAAACAAGGCTGTACCTAAATGGGACAGCAGAGTCAAATACAAAAGAATTAGACCAAAGGTTACGCATTACAACTTAGTAGATCTTTCATGCTTTCTTTAATAAATAAAAAAAAGAAAGCAGATCACTGGAATGCATTATTAAATTTGGCTTGAATTCAAGTGCTCGTATTCCTCCCAGAGTACAAAATCCAGATTCCCTGCAAGCAGGCTTCCTCATTTTTCATATTCAATGCAGTCTTCTCTAACTTGCTGTCTGCCTCTATCTCTCTAAACCAGCTCTTGCAAAAGCTTGGTAGAATTTGGTAGAGGGGGAAAACTCTCATTCTGTTCCTTTGTAAGTAGTGTCTCAGTAGACTGCATGTTTAGTAAAATCATACATGCTCATATCCAGTTAGGATGTCTAAATCCATAACAGAGGAAAAGCAAATCTCACTGTCACATGCAGCAGGCTGGTTTTAGGTAAGGTTGCCAAGACCTTATTGGTTATGACCCACAAGGTATGGCTTTTGCAGTTCAGGTCCTTTACTTTTCTACCCGCTGATTTATTTAGCACTGTGTTGGCTGTTAAGCTAGTACAATGACTGTGCGTGGTGGTAGTCTTGCTTCAAGGAATGGCTGTGGAAGGGACCCACAAGGATCATCAAGGTCAATCCCTGCCTCCACTCAGAACCACTCGAAATCCAAACCCTATGTCTGAAAGCAGTGGCCAAGTGCTCATTGAACTCCAGCAGTTCAGGGTCGTGACCCTGGGGAGCCTGTGCTGTGCCCAGCAACCCTATCAGCAAAGAACCTCTTCCTAACACCAACTCAACTGTCTCCTGATGCAGCTCCATGCCATTCCCTCGAGTCCTGTCACTGGAAAGTCACACAGGAGCTTCATGGGCACGCTCAGCAGATAGTGCTCCTTACATCCATGCTGGCAGTTCTTTTTGACTGTCAAAAGCAGGAGAGATCTTTAGCCTAATATCTTCCCTGTCTACTCAGACCTTCTCCATCAGTCTAGAGTTCATGTATTTCAGAAGTGGAGATAAGGAGTGGGTCTTCCCAGCGAGCCTTGTGTACTGAAGTTCTTGCTGGAATTCATCTCTGAATCATCAGAGCAGTAAGCCCAAAGTATCGAGCTCTGCATAAGTGGGAATCTGCAAAGGAAAGGACTTAGGAATTGGCTCCATGAGCTTCTCAGCATCTTCTCCACACCAAGGATACCAGTTTTGAGGAGGCAGAATTTCTGTAATGGGCTCATTGCCGATTTAGACCTGAGTCAGGCGATGCACTGACTTTCTGTATACATTTAGGTCCTGGCAAAGTTTCCCTAGAAACAATGAAAATCACTAATCATCCTTGAGCTCACTTGCTGTCTTCTCCAGGAGGTTAATGGTTAGAAATTACATTTGTTCATTTGCGTTCACATACAAAAATAGCTCCTCTTTAATGTGCTGGTGAATCTGGCCTTACTCAGGGCCTTAATTATGGTGAGCTGCAGTAAGGCAAAGGGCACTGCTGCTTGAAAACACAAACTTATCTACTGTCATCCTCCAGCTGTTGGCACAGATTATTGCATGGAAGGGTTCCTATAACGTGTTTTAGTGTTTAGGTGTTTTGTGCATAATTTTTGGAGTTTAGAAAGGAGTTCTAATACTAAACATCTCTTACTGCTCTGATCCTCAACAATGCTTATAAAGGGAAAAAAACAAAACCTCTCTCTCATTTAGGTCGATCTGTGGAAAAGCTTTTTGAATTCTGGTTAGATTTGCTGATAGCTGCTGAATGTTCCCCTTTCTCTTTTCTTCATGTGTCTCCAATAGTATCAATTTCCAGTGTGTGCACAGAGGATAGATGCACCTGATAGCTGTGACAATTCAGATAGGGAAAGGGGGAGGGAAGCAAAGAAACAAAGAGCTTTAATCAATAACAGCAAAAGGAGGGTTGTGACCTAATCCTGGAAAGTGTAGAGCGCTTTGTGCTATCACTGAGCAGCTAAAATGTTTGGCAACTTTGTGTACCTGAAACATCCTCAGTGGGATCAAACCTTTCAAAACTGTTGACATAAGATATCTAGACTTGTCTATTTGCAAAAATGCAAGGATTCCTAAATAGGCTTCAGATTGAGCATCAGTAAGCAAAACTCTGGCAAGATGACTTTGCATCCCTTGTAAAGGGTGGGAGTGGTGAATACTGTAGGCTTGATTTCCGAGGATTGTTTTTGGCCAAATACTTGTATTTGCAGGTGACAGAATTGTGTATAAATATGGCTGGTTTTGTTTTCCACCACAGATGTGCCAAATGGCAGAAGAATCTTTCCGGAAGACTTTGGCTTTCTAGTTGTTTCTCACACTTCTAAAGCAGCCTGAGATGCAGTGATTGCTTGTAGACCATCAGCTTATGTGAGAATTTCAAAGTAGAATCCTCTGAGCTGGTGTCAGTGTTGTAGCTGGGAGCCTTTCTGCTGATTGGGATCTAGGGAGAGCTCAGCCTGAGAGCGGGTACTGCCAGGATGAATCAGCAGTTATCTTCCTGGAAGTTATCGACAGTCTGTACATCCCGTGTGTTTAGCAGAAATCCCACCAGACTATAAATGACTGCTTCTGAAACATTTGACTTCTTTCCAGCAAGGAGTGGTACAGTCATTCCCTGACAGCTGTGATACCTTCTCCCACACATCCACGAAGATCACACGGTGATGTTTTTTCAGCAGTTTTGTTGACTAGATGATATACATACAGAAATATTTCAAGTCACTGAACGTTTTCTTTGCACTGAACGAATTCTCCTAAGAAGACTAGAAGGGAAGGAAAAGGCAGAATATATCACGTCATGGCATCTTGACACTAAGCTGCACATTTTGCATGTCATTTCCCAACTGCTTAGTGTACATGAAGCAATATGATCTATTTTATTTTATCTTTAAATAACGTCTGTGTATCTAGAGTAGTGAAGCTGAAGCTGAGACCCCTGCAGTACCGATTCACTGCCCTTGCTCTGACCTTGTTCTGACAATCAGTTTTATCCAGTTAACTCTAAGGAGGGTAAGTGGATTTGATTTTAAGTTCTGTGCAGAGACTGAAAAGTTTTAGCAGTAGAATGAGCTCCTAACTGTAACCATAACTGACAGGTACTTTCTTGTTCAACTCCCATCTGGCAAAGCCAGTTATGAACTGTACAAGCTGATACTGTTTTCACTGCTGGCTTCCAGAAAGCTGGTTGCTGAGGACCTTCTTCGGTATAGTTTTAGAAGTAAAGCCTCTTCTCAGTCCTGAGCCCATTCTCCCCACTGTTATCTCATGAGGAGTCAGGGTAGTGACATATACTGTGAAGAACGAAGGGACTTTGACTTAGAATAAAGCAACAGTTCCAGAATCAGGCATTAAGGGAAGGAAATGCATTAGTTTAATGTGTCAGATAAGGAGTGTGGATGAATCAAGAGGTGGTCTGCACCTTGGGAAAGGAAATACTGTTCTTAGGGAGAAGAGCAGAGCTTCGCATCCATTAGAACTGTGACTGTACAAGAGGTATCAAGATTCTGGAGAGACTTGCAGTAGTTTTGGAGAAAATGGTGCTTCTTGTAACAAGTACTCCAGGCACTATAAGGCACTGAATGGTTGCTAGTACTAAAGCCCTTTAGAAGATGAGCTGCTAACCAGCAGGGGAAAAAGGAGTCCCAGAGATCAGATCAGCATAGGAAGTTAAATCTGAAATCCTTGGAGGATTCTCACTGGCTCTATGTCATATCGCTATACAGTTCTGTACAAATTAGCTTCACCCTGAGATGCTGCAGCAGCACAGCATAACTTGATGGAAAGCATTAAAAAATGTAGAAAAAATGTAGCTCAGAAGGTTGCTCCCTATGAATTAAGCATTACATGCTCTGCTGAGGGAATCTGAAAAATCTCCAAATATTGTAAAAGCGTTTAACAAGTTAACTAGTAACTAGCCAAATGTTAAAACTGCATTTCATTTGTTACATTAAGTGTGGTGATACTGCTTGTGTCTGGTTTTGTTCTGTCATTGTTTGTTTATAGGAGTGAATCTGGTTGACAGTAAAGGAAGCTGTTCCCCATCCAACCTGATTGGAGTAGTTGTGCTTTGGTGTCTGGATATATGTGACCACTTGCAAAACGTTGGGTTGAAAAGATCTTCTGAAAGGCTTATGTTTATTTCTGTAACTTCTACTTTGAAATTGATGGTCATTGCATTGTAAGTAACAACAGAGAACGTTTGATAAATATTTCTTCATATCTTTAAAAAAAATTGACATCTGGGACCTACGGTGAAATAAGTTGCAATAAATGAGGAATGCCTCTCATTTGAGAGGTAGTAGAGAAGTATTGTGAGTACTGGGCAAGGATAGCAACGCAGTAAATGTATGGGGAAGAGGAGACGAATATAGGTGTTCACACTTGCAGCTTGCTATGCCAAACAAACATTCTGTCTCTTGACAGCACCAGTCACGTAACAGTCCCTGGCAGCCAGGTGTCTTAGGCAGTGACTCATACACTGAATACAGTTCTCTGTTGTTTCACTGCAGATGGTCTAACTTGAAATGTGCCTGCCCTGAATCTTCTCCGTGGTGAATGCGACTTGTCTGTCAATGTTTGAGACCTCTCCCTTCCTGAGGCTGCTTCATTTTGATTTATCAACCTCTGAGCATCAGCTACACCTCCAAGGGATGGAGGGCTCCTAGCCTAACTTCCCCTGGATATGGCCTTCCTCTGAGTTTGTGCTGTGATAGCAGCAGTGTGTTTCTGGGCTCTAACAGCAGAAATATACCTAACAGGCAGCCAGTGGTGGTAGGAAACAGGACTGCTGTAATTCCGTCAAATAAACAAAGGGAATCCCTCTGCTCTGAGCTACAATTTCCTCTAATTCGGTCCAAGTAGAGTAGTCTGCGTTTATTGATCTGGGCTTTCTTATTGAGAGAATAAACTCAGCAAAGTTGGCTTCTTTCTTTCATGCGGGACAAGACTGATTGCAGGCTGAAGTCAGAAGAAAATTCACTTGGAGTATTTGAAGAATTAAGATGAGGGCCTTGACTCTTTTTTTTTTTTAAGCCAAGCAGAACTTCTGAATTTCAGAAAGACCTTCATATGTTTTTTTCCTCTGCCAATCTCTAATTTGTAAATTCTTATCTTGGGTTCAGTTCAGAAAAAATCAGAATCATTAAAGTGGAGGCTACTTCTTTTACTTTAATTTCCTACATCAGACAGCAGCATTGTGGATGCCTTGGTGTTTGCAGAAATGCAAGGCATGTGATTGTTGAAAAGATCAACAGCCCAGTCCTGTCACTTAAGGAAGACTTAAAATTTCAGGTTTTCTCTTTCCCAAACTCTTTTCATAAGTATTAGAACTAACTCTAGATGTTGTTGTTATGTACATGCAGATGTAGAGAGATGGTCATGCTGAGCCATTCTTTCCCAGTTCCTAGTTAAAGGGCTTTTTGGACAAAAGTTGATGAGCTTTGTTTGTACTGTATGTGTACACTGAGAATATAGTGAAGAGGAATAGGGAAATGTATCACATTCCTTCATTTTCAGCAGGACAAAGATCCTATGTTATATTCAGGCAGGAAGAATTACTGAGGCAATACCATCACTTCTGTTGCTAACCCATGTCTGTCAATGAGCGGGGCTGAATTGGGGTCATGTGCCTTTGAGATGGAGTAGATTGTTTCTGCTTTATTTTTACTATGCATACAGATAGACTGAGCAAAGAAAATCTAAGGATAGACTGGAATGTAGAATGTGAACAAGCACAACTCATTGCTACATTAGGCATCACACTGTCTCAGTGTATTACACACAGAAGGAAATCAGTGCTGTCTCAGTCCTTCTGTCTTCAAAATGGAAAAAAAGAAAGGAAGATATTGTAGTTGGTTCTGCATTCCCTTAAGAAAAAGACTCAAGGATTATATTTAGTTAACATAGTTCTAAGTGCCCCCAAATTACTAAGAATTCCTTATTGTTACTGCCAAAATCAAGTTCTTCTGGAAAAGTAAAACCTTCCAGAGAAAATAATGTGCTTTGTATTTCCATGTACCACATAGATTTTATATAGAACCGCTCTTCAGATGAACACAAAGAATGAACACTCAAAGATCATAAGCAAATAAGTTGGCCTTTCAAGAATTGAGAGAAGATCTTAATACTCCGAGAGAAGCGTGAGATTTCTGGGTGAGAAGATATTCAGAACTGGAACAAACATTTCTGGCTAGGAGCATGAAGTTTTCTTTTTCAAATTGCGCATGTTTTTTAGTGGCAGCTGTTTTGTGCAAATGAGTGTGGTGGACACCCAGTTTAGATGTTTCCATGATGCTATGCAAGGGCTATCCTCTGCATATGGATGCTGTGATGCAAAGCATGCTTTTCTTAACAGCTCAGTGTTTTGTTCTGTTTGGAAATAAAATCCTGAGAGGCTGATGTTTTTGCATGTGCATGAATAAACGGGCTGCTTTGTGATAGGCAATTTGTTTTAATTGTTTGTTTTTCAGACTATCTAAAACTGAAAAGTTAGCTGTTGGATGGTACTGGAAAGAGCTTCCTCTTTTGGGAGCCTCATCTCAGTTCACTGAGGTGGTGTTTGTCCCAGTTCAGGTAATCCAGGTTTCTTCCCAGTAGTGCTTTTCTCTATGTTGGATGTGTTATTGGTGCTTATCTTTTTATCTGCTCCTTACTGCAAGTTTATAGGTATCCTGTATGGCAAGCTTGTAAGCATCCTTGTTGCTTGTTTGATAAGAAAACACTAACAAATATTTTGTCATTTGTCTATAGCATCAGAGAAATAGAGAGTAGAGTTTATATTTGTCCCAGAGCTTTAATAATCTCTTTCCTTTGCTGCTGATGTGCTCCAAATTTGTCTCACAGAACTGAGTTGGTGTGAGACTGTGTCTCTGTCACAACGTTCCAGAAATGGACACATTTTCTAAGAAGTTGAAACTTCTACCTTCTTTCTGAGGTTTTGTTTTTGTTGTTGTTGTTTTTTTTTTTCTCTCAAGGTACCTGGAAATAAAGCAGTCTGCAGCTACTTTTGCTCACTGTTTGTCTAGGATGATGGCTTCAGGGTGATGACTTTTGTTACTCACGATTTTCTGTAACTCCTACAAGCATGCCGGGTGCTTGGTGATGCATCTGTTAATAAACACTAGTTTAATAATAGAGGAGCAGTAGGTTGCAATAGCGTGGTGCTGGTAGGAGGAGATACCCAGTAAGGCTCGTATATGGGGAAAGTGGGTTAGTGGGGTAAAACAGTTAATTCTGCCTTGCTCTTTTTTGCCTCTTTCCTCACCTTTGGTCTGTGACTACCTTTGAGTATCTTTGCTCTCCCTCAGCTGCTCTGCTTCAACGAACCTTTCGTTGAGTGTTTGCTCCAGCAGTGTGTGCGTAATGTCTTCCAGATTTTTCATCAGAGACCACATTCACCTTTTGTCATCAGGAATAAACCTGTCAGTCTCACTTCTAAATTGAAATTTGATTTCTTAAATGTTAATAAATTAAAAAGAAAAAAAGAGAAGAAGAAAAAGGGAAGAAGAAAAAAGCAGTCATGCTGTGACGTGAAGAGAATATAAGCTATGGGCTGGGGAGAATGGGGAGAATATCTTCTCTTTCTGTCTTTGAAGAGAGAAAATAAATTCCCTATGGAAAGATCAAAGCACATAAAGTTAATGGATTAACGTTTAAAAAAAAAATACCTGAAGGAAATAATAGGTTTCAACATAAAAGAGGAAAATAGACCAGTGTTTTTTGCTGGAGATACAGTTAGATGGCTAGCTAAATACCTGAGATTATA